CGTGTTATATATATATATATATAAGTTTGTATGTATGTGTGTGTGTGTGTGTGTGTATATATATATATATATATATATTCACAAGAAATTCATCCAAAAATATTGTTTCCTCTCCCTTCCCTCAATTCAAACCAATCCAATTACTTAATGGATGATGATGAAACATACAACATATACATTATTAATCACCATCACACATCACACTTACAAATATTCCTCACCCTTCTCTCCACCACCATTGCCTTTCACGTCACACACCACATCAAGACAATACAACACAGAAACCATAACAGCCGAACATACAAAGACAAGAACAGGCCCAAACACCCACAACAGCAATGAAAGAGCAGTATAGAACAATCTATTCCCGAAAGTATTAAGCAAAAAACCTTTCTCCAACAGCTCACAGACATATTCAGGCGTGATAATTACTAGGGTTAGATTCTCAGAAGAAACCGGAGTGGTGTTGATGAGGAAGCTGACTTGGCACATGAAGCGAACTGAAAGTGAGTAGCAGATGAAGGCGAAGAGGAAGATGAGGAGGAGAGAAATGTATTTTAGGGCGACCATGAGCTCTCCATGAGCTCCATAAATGGAGTCTGAGATTGGTTTCTTAACACTGTATGTGCTGCTTAAAACTGCTGCCAGAGCTGAGCAGAGGAGAATGCATGTGGTGGCCATTAATGTTGAGCTCATTATGGCGTTCCGTAGGGTTTGTACTGCCAGAACGTTTTTCTTGTCCGAGTCCTGTGGGTTTTTAGGCCAAGAGTGTGAGATATTGAGGTGTAAATGAGCCGAGGAGTAAAGGAGCCGACGTCTCGTTTATATTTCAAGCTCAAAAAGTGTGTTCGTGTTCGGCTCGCTAATCGTCTCGCTAACCGTTTGCTTAGGGAGCCGAACACGAGTCGTTCACAAACAAATAGTCATTTTGACAACTCTAATCACGTAGTTATAAGATGTAAAGGATTGAGCCAAGATTTAAAGCATCATTTGAATCTAATTTAATAATTTTTTTTCTATTTTCTTCATTAATATTTTTAATTGATTATAAATCTTTGCAGCCTCTAGTCAATTAATTTTTTTTTTAAAATACAACTCATCAAAAAAAAATATATATATATATATATATATATATATATGTAAAAGAAGAGTATAGTAGTATCGCTCGACCATTATATATATATATATGTAAAAGAATTGAATAGTAGTATTTCGAGCCAATATTTGTTCGTGTTCGGCTCGTTAACTTAGCGAACGAGCCGAACATGAGTTGTTCGTGAACAACAAGTTGAACACGAGTTGAATACGAGTTGTTCGCGAAGTACGAGCCGTTTTGACAGCCCTAGTGAGATATATAAATGATTAAATTAAAAAAAAATATATAATTTGATTTCACTTATGAGAAAGTTTATAGGGTCGAAATTGTTTGTTAAATGGAATGCATTTCTTGCACTTTTGATTTAATTACATGTTTTAGATGTAATTTTATTTACATTCACCAAAGTTTCTGAGTTAAGAAAATACATAATGCTGAATCATAAACTTCAGCTCCATTTGGCAGTGTTATCTTGTGTTTGGGATGGTGTAGGGGGAAATTTTGGAAGTTGTTTTGAATTCTTTTGATCAGTAATTAAAAAAATTTATTATATCAATTTCTAAGCAAATATAATAATTTTAAATTTATTTTAATAAAAGTAATTGGTAATGGTATCCGAATCAATTTTTTCTTATGATGTCGTGGAGTAAAACAAATAATTATTTAATATAATTGTGTAAAATGGGGTAAAAAAATAATAATATTTTTTTATTTACTAAATAGAATAAGTGAATTAATAAAATTTGTTTTTTTGGAAAATCTTCTGGATTATTATCTTTAGGAGAAAATATGCGCACATGCTGACAATTGCATCGCTCGAATAAATTGTTATTCACATGAGCGAACACTGCACGTGCGAACAATCGCTCAAATAAACTTTTATTCGCACGAGCGAACACCGCACGTAATATTTTCTTCGTTCTTAAAAGTCTTTCCACATTTTTGGCGTAGCAAAAATTTTGTTTTTAAGAGCAATCAAATGGAAGATTGTAATGTCAAATTTATTGCTAGGAGGAACAAACGTCAAAGCAAATCATGATGCCGACTTCTGTTTTACAACGCGGGCTTCATCAATTGCTTTCTATTCTTGGCCATTAAATTCAAATGGGAGGTATTATGTATAAATGTAAATGCCCCAAAAAAAATAGGAACTTAGAAATACATATTATGGGATGCAGCATAAGAAATTAGGCTGTTGAAATTAGAATTGTTGAATTTATCTGATAAAAATTTGAAGTGAATATTCTCACATAATTTTTTTTCAGCATGCCAGTTTTCTGTTTTTGTAATATTTTTTCTATAGTTTGCCCCCAAATAGAACCTCTATAACTCTGTAAAATAGGATGGAATATTAACATACCTTCATGACCGACCGGACCCAAAGCCGGCGGCCGGCCGAGTTCATTCCGATGATGGTGCGGCGAGGCTGAGTCCTCACCTTATGCCAAAGCCAGCCATGGTAAACTATGAACAGGAGAAGGCTCAATGGAACTAGTACCAGATCCATGTAGCTCTTTCTCCACTCCATCCTCCTCTCTCTCTCTCTCTCTCTCTCTCCACCCCTCTCTCTCTCTCTCTCTCTCTCCCCCCCCCTCTCTCTCTCTCTCTCTCTCTCTCTTCAGCCCACTCTCTCTCTCTCTCTTTCTCTCTCTCTCTCTCTCTCTCCTCTATCAGTTTCAAATATTCTTCTTTAACAGAAGGCTTTCTAAATATATAGGGGAGAAGCAGTATCAGCATATAGGAAAAAAATAAGGGAAATTTACAAATATAGCACACAATTCTGATGTATTTACATATCTTACATCTAAATTTTCATATTTACATGTATAATATTTTTGATATTTGAAATTTATACATGAAGAGACATGTTCCATTTAAAAGTCATAATAATAATGTTTTTAAATGGTATGTGTGTAAGTTAAAAAAAATATAGGAGTGAGATATGTAAATATATTAGAAATATTATGTGTTGGTATGTAAATGCCTCAAAAAATAATTATTATATTAATTTAAATATATTAGGTTTTTTTAGATGAATATATAATATATGTTTTTCCAAGAGAAATGCATCTGGACGCCATTATTGAGGAAATTCAGGAAACATTGAAAAGAAAGGAGTTAAAGTTGTGAGGGCCTGAACTTTATATGGATGACACAAGCCATGCTTCAAAAGGTGGCTTTACCGGCTTTGGGTGGTGCTTGCATTGCCATGAATATTTATTGTTGGAAAGCATTTAGCTGTACATATATATATATATATATATATATAATATATATACCATCCAATTCATTATTTATTTACTTATTTAACACTTTAACTTCATATCTACATGCATAATATTAGGAGCGAAACAAATTTTAGAGTTTCGAAATAAAGTTTTGAACTGAAGTGAATAAAATAAGAAAATCATAGAAAACAAAGAGAACAAGAGATTTAACATGAAAAAATTGAGAACTAGAAAAAACCACTGAGTCACACCGCACTAAGAAATCCACTATAAAAAAAGGTAGGACAATTATACAAATTACGCCACGCTCAATCATCTTCATACTTCGAAACACTTAAAGACGCACCATTCTGTTGTTTGTACATGAAATATTAAAATCACATTCCAATCAACAAAAACCAAAACTTCAATTGTAGAATGACTCGATTTTGATTACTGTGGCTGGGGTGTACGATAGTGGCATTGTGGTGATATATTCGAGCGTTGCAGTGTCGTGCTCTAAGCATATGAAACCTAGGCTAGGCGCCATCTTCCGGGTGTTGGGACTCTAATGGCTCGGCTCTAGAGCGCTAGGGGTCCAATGCTTTGGTGCTATGTAACGAAAAATATTTTAGGGCGACACCTCCGAACCCGATATAAGCATGGCGCTGCAGCTACTGGTCTAATATTAGGGTGTTATCACAATTAGCATCACAACTCTACAATTACGGCATTGCAACACTGCTCTAGGCTGCGAAGCTGCGACTGTTAATTACTCACTCAACGTTTTTGTCTTCTCTGTGCATTGATCTAAGAGAGCGGTCATCGATATCAGTGCAACGTAGACTATGATAATGTCGCGACACAGGATCTATCATATTTACTTGGCTTGGCATGATGCCATGGAGCCGACTCTGGCCACTGTGGTGATGGTCACATGGCCCCTAGGCGTTGATCTCTCGGAAAATTTTTCAAATTAGGAATTTTCAACCAAGTACTGTGGTACTTGTACCTAGTGCTACCGTGCATGCTCCAACAAATTTCACCAAACTATCAGGATCTGACTTTTATGGGCAAACAGACACATAAAATACACAATTGCACAGAATTTGAAGAGAAGCACTAAATAAAACAACCTATTTCTTTTGTCATTTTCTTAAGTTCTTATCACTCAATAATATCAGTAAGAATAAATTAAAAAATTAAAATTTTGACTACATAAAATACACAATTGCACAGAATTTGAAGAGAAACACTAAATAAAACATCCTATTTCTTTTGTCATTTTCTCAAGTTCTTATCACTCAATAATATCAGTCAGAATAAATTAAAAAATTAAAATTTTGACAGAATTATCTGAAGAAAAATAATAAAGAATGCCACTAAACAGTATCTGTACAACGAGAACCATAACAAAATATTCACAACAGCTATATACGTTAGCCAAATAGTTCCCATAACTATTCGAATATGATTAAATTCAAAACTTTGCATTGTCTTATTACATGTGGGTTAGTTCAGAGCCAACAAGTTGTGGAGTTAAATAAGCCTTTACATGCATGCAAGCATACTGTAAGAAAGGGAAACCTACACGCATGCCACACAGCTCTTTTATATTTACATATCTTACACGTTGAACTTTCTTGTTTGCATTTATAACATTTTGGAGTGATAGAATTATGCTTGAAAATGGTGTCTTTAGCTTTCTAACGGTTGGTAATGGTACATACTAAAGGTTTGAGTGCAATTAAGTATTGAGGTTTGTATATTTAGGTAAATTCGTAAGAAAATGAGACCCCCGTGTGAGACTAATATAACATCATAATACATCATGAGAATTTGATGCTAGTCTTTTTATAGAAATTTGGTAAGTGGGAAAGATTGAAGTTGGGGAAGGCGTGTAGAAATAATATGATTTCTATTTTTAATCCTCCCATGCCCATGCATGAGAATGATGTTTAACAAATTAAACATGCAATATGTTGATTTGTCCCACGTGAAGGAAAAAAAATATTTCGACATGGGTCGTATGGTAAATGAGATCAACTACGTTTATATGTAATATGATTATGGCTAATTTTTTAAAATGACTTTTATAACTTTTGTTGATTAAAATTGTTATTTTAAAAATTTAGCCTATGATTATTTTATTAAATTTTACTTATTTTGAATATGAAAATATAATTATCGTTTGAAAGAATTATATATTTAGATTAAAAAAAAAGTATCAACACCAATTCTGATGATATCTAACGGTTCAGATGGAAAGAGAATTAAATTAAAGGAATGCCCGTCGACAAAAGATTATAAGACCCACTTATTCAACTTAGCTAACTTGTCTGAAGCAAAGCCAACCGAATCACGAGACAAACCAAAGTCGACCGGAGGATATAAGAATGAGTTGTTCATAAAAAAATAAAGCAAATGTACATCCAAGCCAATTATCACAAGAAAGCCGATCCCTTGAAGATATAGTTTCTACAACCACTTAAAAAATGACCAGAGGCTCCTCATCTGGTGGTCAAGATTCGAAAACTATACCTCATCAAACCAGTAAAATAGTATCGACCAAGATCAGCTGATCAAGCGGATCTCAGATGACTGAGTGGATCCCAGTTGATCAAGCTAAGCCTTATCAAATTGAAGCCAATTGAGCTTAGTCAGCCGACCCAGAGTGCAGTCAAACGATGATAAGCTCATACAAGTAAAATTCTAAGAATACCCAAGATGGCCTTCTTTAAAACATAGACAGAAATATAACATTATCACATTTTATATTCTCCTCAATAGGGAGATTATTTTATGAATAAGACAATATTGTCATGACGTATTTTTGTTCACTCTTGCTCTCTCTATCTCTCTCCTTATGTAGTTATGTTTTATTTCTTGAGTGTGATTCATGGACAAATTATGATTCAACAATTTACATACCACTTAATTCTTACGTATTTATATATCCAACATCAAAACTTGATTTTGTATGTTCATGTCACCTTAACTATGCATGACAAGATGTATTTCATTTTCTAAAAGTTTAAACAATAGTATTTTTAACGTAATATGAAAGACTTGGGTGATATAAATGTAAAAAAACAAAATTTAGGTATAAGATATGTAAAAATATAAGAATTATGTGGTATTTACATAAATGCTCTTTGTCATTTTTGAAAAAGTAAAAGAGATGGTATTTACATAAATGCTCTTTGTCATTTTTGAAAGAGTAAAGGAGGCTTGGGGAGCTTAAAATGCATATATTTTGTTAAATTCTTACTTTTCGGTGACAATTTAATAGTTCTATTCTACTACATATCCTAAATTATAAAGTTAAGACTAATGATGATCACTTAAAGATGATTATAATCCTGACAATGAAGGTTGAATTTGACCTGCCTTGTAGAGCACAAAGAAAATTGCATATTTAAAAATGATTAAAATTAATAATTGCAACATTTAATATTATTCTACTTTCATGATTTGAACCTTGTCTCAGTGTGATATAAGAAGAGCTTAGTGGCAGCTGACATGGTATCCACTGTGTGAAAACAAATAGTATATATTATACTTGTAAAATATCTACAGCAACAATGAATTCAATCTTGACCATGTCAAACTTTTAGTTTTATTATTGATAGCAAGAATTTGAGCTTCTAGCCACTTCTTTACTCAATTGTCTTTTTATATTTATATAGTTGACCTTATTGTTTGTTTTCTCTTATACTATATTTCATATTTTAATTTATAGGATTGTTTACTTATACACCAAGCAATTCTTATGTATTTATATATATCTGTACATTTATTTGTAACAGAATCGTTAAAGTCGCTGGTTCAAATCATGCATAGTGCCCTTTGGGCTTATCTTTCCCAAAAAAAAAAATGTATTTACAAGTCTAATATTAACTAAATTTTCATATTTATATTTATAACATTTTGGCTTCATGAAATTTATATATCAATTGTGTATTTAAGTTTTTATAAGTAAGAAATGATATTTTTGATGTAATATTAAAGATTAGAGTGATATGCATGTCAATATAAAATATTATTATTTTAATACCTTTTATTTGAATATTTAAAAAGAGGGAATCAGAATATTTTTAACATATGATTGAAAGAAATAAGACGAGAATATTCTCATAACCTTCAAGTACAAATAATAGTCTATGTGATTTCGGCCTGTTGTGGCTTTGTCTGTTTTATGTTTTTTTATTAATATTTTATATTTGCATGAAAAAAAATGGAATTTGCATACATCCAACCTAATTCCTATATATTAACACATAACAATTAAATTGTAATTTTTACATATATACCGACCAAATATTTCATACCACATTAAAAATATCATTATTTTAATTATTTTTAAAAAGTGAAATGCATTTTTTTTCATGTATAG